CTTTTCCTCCTCTCCAGATAATATACAGAACTCCAGATAGCTATAAGGTTCTTTGTGAGTTAATCATGAAATCATTTTTGCAATCATGTGAAGTAGATTTGCACAGACACCTTGTGAATGATCGGTGATGGAGATGCTCTCAAGAAACTGTCCAAAAGGGGGAGAGAGGCTTCCCTCCTTTCCCTTCTGTTTTGGATGGATGAAAATTTGAAACATGTTTGTTGTAGTGTTGTTGGTAATAGCATAATGACAGTGGGTGGGGGGCAAAGGGAAAAAAGAAACTGTCATGAATGATTTTTTTTCCAATTCTGCCGTATGCAACACTGTTACCAGAATCTCATAGTTAGATCATATTCTGTGTATTGACAAAACTGTGTCCCATTTGCCATTGGGGTTTTCTGCAGTTGTTTGCATTTCACATAAAAATAATAAAGTTCCTCTCTGCTCTCCTCGGAGGATGGCCCTTTAAGGTAGCCTGAGATAAACCCTGTGGTTTGAAGGTGAACTGTGAGAGGCTCTAATAGATGAGCAGCAGTTTACAAAGACAGTTGTATCATCTGATGATGTGCCATCCTTTTCTCTGAATAATTATTTATTACATCTTGCTTGGTTCCTACTTTTTGTTGGGGCTCAACATTGGCTCAAGAATGCTGTTAATATTTATTTCTGTTGTATTGATAAGTCTGTCTTGGCACTACAAGTAAATCTCCGATTGCATCTCTAGCATAGCACTGTGTTTTGTGAAAATGGTTGTGTTTATTTATTACAATACTGAGTCTCATATAAATTTTCAATAAAAGCAGAAACTTTCTTACCTTAACCTCTGCTGCCCTTTTTCCCCCCTTGCAATGAAAACTTAACATGAAATTTGTGTATCAATAAGATTCACCATGTGGAGTGCAGCACTGCCCTGTTTGGAACTGACCCAGGTCCAGAAGAACTCTCACACAGAATACAAATTGCCAAGCCAGTAGTCACATTCTTGGGGAGCTGAAACTATCCTGTCCTTTGGAAAGGGTCTTCTCTCTGAAACAGTGCAGGAAATTTATGGCTCTGCACCACTGGGGAGGGGGGATATGCATCGTGATGAATTCTCCAGTACTACTTTTAATTGCTATGGAGTCCTATGTGGAACTGTGTCATATCATAACCAGCAAGTCTGTACGTACTGAAATGAAAGGGAGAGGACTGTGCTTGGGGGGAGGGGTTACACAGATATGTGTGTTGGACATGGAAGAAAGAAGGTAACAATTTCTATTCGATGGGTAAAAGTGGGCTCTTCTACCCTGGGTGTGGGAACAAAGAAAGTCCCTTCAACAAGTCCGGAAGTTAGGGGAAACACTGGCCTGTTCTCTCTCTCTCTCTCTCTCTCTCTCTCTCTCTCTCTCTCTCTCTCTCTCTCTCTCTCTCTCTCTCTCTCTTTCCCCCCCCGTGTGGGGGGAGGGGTGTCTTCTATCTCTCTCGTTCTCACTTCACTGGAAAAGTATGCTGCCATTTCCAAAATACTGGTCTTTCAAAACGGTAAAAACTTGCCACAGAATCCCTTGATGGCAAAGAATTCTGTTTCTTTCTGGTGAAAAGATACAAGAACTAAGTGAAATTTGGTCTTTGTCCTCTTTGAGAGAGCAGAGCAGCAAGTTGTGCTCTGGGGTAAATTCAGAATCCTATCCAATTTAACCCAGGTAAACCGGCACTCAGAAACCCACTGCCCAGAGCATCCTAGGGCTCTGATTAGGGTGGATTCCAGAACCCTTCCCTTTTCCCGGGGCCTCTCAGGAAGGCACTTTGCCCTTCCCCCAAGCCGCCCCAGATCTGCGAGGTGACAAAACTACCCTAGTCCTAGATTTGCCAGTGAGAGGGGATGGGGGGAGCTTCTGCTTGGTTGCCAGTCTGGTGGGGTTTCCTTTCTCCGCAGCGCCCGAACGCCCCTCAGCGGCGGCGGAGCACGGACTGGAACCGCCGGGTCGGGCCGCAGCCCGGGAGGCGCTTTGGAGGAGCTCCACGCAGTGCCTGGTGGCAGGCTCCCTAAGGCAGGCAGGAACCCGGCCCGCCAAGGGACTGAGACCCTGAAAACCCCGCTCGGTGTGTAGAGACAATGGGAGTGGGGGTGGCGGGGGCTATGGAAGCGGTTGTGGCGAGCCAGTGCAGACCTGCCCCCCCCCCCGCCCCGTGCCTGGTCCACTCTACAGTGGGCACGAGGTCACTTGGAAGCTGCATGCAGGCTTGGGGCCCGCTCCTGGCTGGTGGGCCTTAAACTGAGACAGCTTCCCTCTTCCTCTAAGGATGTTCCTACTTTGCCCTGGCTGCACAGCTACCCTTTGAGGGAACCGTCGAAGCTTCTGGACCAGCGTCCCCTACCCAGACATTTGGCAATCTTCTGCACCGAATTAAAAACAAAAAACAAAAACTTTCATCTTGGTTTTACTCTCCCTCCTCTCCTCTCCTCTCCTCGACTGTTCTGTTTTGTTCTGTCCTGTTCTCTCTTCTTCTTTACCCTCCCCTCTCTCTCTCTCTCTCTCTCTCTCTCTCTCTCTCTCTCTCTCTCTCTCTCTCTCTCTCTCTCTCTCTCCTCCCCACCTCCCCCTCCTCCTCTCTTTTCTCCTTAATCCCAAGGTTTTACAGGATGAGCATTAAGGAAATTCGCCTGCAATTTGGGATTAGATAAATACTCTCATGGGGGAGGGGGTTCCTTGCCACCCAATACCTCCCACTTGCCCGAGAATGGAAGGGGACAGCATCAGAAACCAAGAGCGACCAGCTCCTGAGCGGTGGGCCTTGGGGACCGCGAAGGCACATTCCAATGCGCACAGCCGCCCCAATTCGGTCAATCTGACCTAGGCTAGGTTCTGCGGCTGCCATCGAACCCGGCCTGAGGAGGCCAGAGTCCCGGAGAGAACCAGCCAGAGCGTGAGCCCAGGGCCCCAGAAGGCCAACCCAGGCTCACAGCGGGGAGGCCCGGACAGGGGTGCCGCCAGCGTACACCCAGGACGTCGACATTCTCGCGCCCGCCAACTAGTGCGCCCCAGCTTGCGCCATTCCCCGGAGCCTGGCACGAGTGTATTTCGTTTCTTTCTTTAAACCTCAGCGCGGTCCCCGTGGCTCTCAGCCCGACCGCCCGCCTTTGGGGCTACTCCTGGTGGGGACCCGGAGCCTAAGGTGTGTGCTGGCTCTGCCGGCGCTGTGCTCTGCGCTGCGCTTTTCCGCCTGCAGGTTTTATCTCTCTCCCTCTCTCTTCCCCCCTTTCCTAGCGTTCTTTTATTCTGCTTTCTCTTTCTCTCGCTTTTGTGAATGGGCCGCGGTGTCTTTGTTCTGCGGAGAAGCGCCCGTGTCGCTGACTTTTGTGAACCAGAGAAGGATCTTGTAAAACCTCCTTTTCTCCTCCGTGGTCCCCCGCTCACACCCCTCCTTCCCTGCCCCTTTGATTAGATGTTCCCTCATCGTTCAAAAAAAAAAAAATGTAATTTCGTTAGTCTGGCGGCCACTTTCTTTGAACATTAGCTCGCTTTCAGCTCCAACTTCAATTAGAAGGAGTTGATTTTGAGAGATCAACAAAAGAACCGACCAAAGCCTTATTAAAGGTCCTAAGAAGATCTCTCGGTCCTTTGAGAAGCAGTTAAGGAAACAGTGTGCCCTCCATCATATTCTGTTACCGTATTTTATTCGGACTCCAAAGAAAAGTGTCGCTTGGGGGAGGGGAGAAGCACTTTGATGAGCGGCAGCCGCGGCCCCTTTTCACTCAGCGGGCTCCCCCTTCCTTTGGGTCGCCCCGCGCTCGTTCAGCGATCGGTGGGGACCGCGCGGCCTGGCCATCGCCGTGCTCCGGTCTACAGTGCTCTTGGCGAATCCCGAACTCACCCACGCACATACTCTGGCTCAAACTTTTTACCCGCCTGCTGGAGTGAGAATGGGAGATGGGGAGGAAAGACTAGCGAAGGGCGTAGACGTGGTCCCTTGTCTTCAGTAGGAGATGCCATTTAAAAGAATTGCCTTGCTCGGGGTTGGGCCGGGAAACATTTTTTTCTTTTTTTCCTCTCTCGCGTTGGAAAAGTCCACACAGGTAGACAGACGTCTTAGCAAGTTATTCGGCTGGGAACTGGGGTCTTCCAGTACGAACTATCCGGGGAAATTATTTCTAGGAGGCTCCTCCCGGAATATGTAGAAAACGAACTGAGGGGTCGGGGGTCTGTGGCCACATTTTCTACCAGACTGTCCCTGGTAGGTGGAGACGTCAAAGGACAGACCTAGTGTGAAAAAGAAAGTTTTCTATCAAAACCTCGCGCCTAAGAAAGTGTGTGTGTGTGTGTGTGTGTGTGTGTGTGTGTGTGTGTGTGTATGTGGTGGGGGGGTCTGAGTTCCGACGGTTCCGAAGAAGCTTTTAGAACTTGCGAACACCTTTGGTGGGGACCGGGAGCACCTGGAGACGCGGGCGCTGGTAAGTGGCGGCGCCTCCCCTGCGGGTGCTGCCCCAGTGCGCGGGAGTCCGGGGCGCCGCGGCGTGCCGGGCGCGCCTAGAATTGCTCCCGAGCTCGGATCGGGGGCCCGCGCCCGCAGGAGGCGCCCGCAGGTGGGGGGCGCGGAGGGAGGAGGCTCCGGGGCGCCCCAAGGCGAGCGAGCCAGGGGCCGGCGAGCCTTATCCGCCGCCGGGGAAGCCTCGCGCCCACACCCCGGCTGCGGAGCCCGGCGGCGCGCGCGCGACCAGAAACCGGTTACCCAGCACCTTTCTGCCACTCCTCCGCGGCGCAGCCGGGGCGAGAGGAGGGCGGGGGCCCCCAGGCGTGCCTCGGGACCCGGGGCCCCTCTGCTCCCGCGACTCCAGCGCTGCCTTCACCCTCCTAGACTTGCTCTGAGCGGAATTTGCCACCCGAGCCCCAGAGTTAGCGCGCGACCGGGGCGGGGCTGGCGCGCGGGGAGGGCGAGGGGTGGGGGCGGGGGAGGGCGGGGGCGCGCGGAGGTAACCCCGGCTCGCGCTGCCATTGCCCGGCTCCCTGTCACTCAGCCCGCTCTGGGCCCCCTATTGGCGGCCTTGCCCCGTTACGCACTTGCCTCGCGTTCACATACCCGGGGAGGGCAGTAGAAAGGTGATCAATCTTCATCAGGCTACATTTCCAATCACCTAAACAACCGAGCAAGACAAGCCACTCCGACAAGGTAAATTGCTTGATTTATTTAGTTCGCCAAGTGACTACGCAGGGTTTCTCCAGTCCCTACCGCCTCCATGTTGCACCGGGAGTGCAGCGGCCACCGCGAGCCACCTCCTAACTCTGTCCCTCGAACACCGCCCCCCCACCCGTCCCGGCTGAGGGCAGGTCTTGGGAGGAGAAGCATGTGCGACTTTGCAAAAAAAAAAAAAAGTATTTGTGCAATAAAGTGAAACCTGGAGGAAACACGCACGGAGCTCCTGGAAAAAGCAGGAGCCGGGAGAGGGGAGTTGGGGAAAGAAGGAATGCGGGGTCCTCCACCCGCCGCCGGGGTAAAACCAGTGCAGCTCTGTTTTGCAGGTTGGCTGCCCCGAGGGCCTTGCTGAGGGCACGAGGTAGATGGTGAACAGCCCAGGCGGCGGAGGGCAGGTAAGGAGGGAGCCGCGGGGTCGCGCCGCACGGGAGCCTCGGTGGCTCCCCTCGCCTCCCCTTCCTCGCGTCGACCCCCGCTCCCCAGATCGCGGGCAGGTGGGCGGGGCTGGGGTTGAGGGGCCTGGCACCCCCTTGACTGCGCCGGGGACCCTAGGCCTGTCCTGAGCCGGCCCCTCCCCCGCCTCCTCCGAAGCTGCGGAGCTGGGGTGCTAAGTTAGATCAAAGTACTCGAAAACTCACGCCGCACCTTCGCAGAGCCGCGGTGCCGGGCGGCCTGCGGCCCCACCGCTTCCCTCGCGGCCCCGTCCCCCTGCTGTGCCAGCTGGCCTCCCTCAGTCCGGGCCCCCGGACCCCAGGACCGAAGCGGGGGTTGGAGTTGGAATGGGAAAGCTCCTTAAGTCCTGCCTCCTTTCTCTCTGAGCTCCCTACCCAGGGCTCCTGGTAAAGCGGCTGTAGCTAGAGCCCCCCCCCCCCGCGAGTCCCAGCCCTACTCGCCCCAACCCCCTCTTCCTCTGGCGGAGGGCGCCAGGGGCTCGCGGTGTCTGCGGCCGAGCCTGGCGCTCCCAGCTCGGGTGTGCGGGAGCTTTCCCACTTGAGGCCTAGTTCTCTGCTCTCCACCGGGTTCAGGAGAGTTCGGCGAGGAGCCCAGGCGATCCGGGGTGCTCTGCTTCCTGAACTCCCCAGCACGCTCGGAGCCGCTGGGTTGGTCATCCTTTATCAGACCCTGGTGGGACTCGGTGTGCTCTCCCGGACTTGGTAGAAAGAAGGCCAGGCCTGCGTGGGCTTAGGAGAGCGGGTGACCGCCTCTGAGGCACCCCTGACCTTGGGCGGCTTCTAGAAACCGCCACATCTATGGTGGCGCCTTTGGCATCGTCTTGCCGCCTCACCCGGGCCTGGGCCACATCTGCCCTGGGGGTGCGGTGGGACTCTGGGTCACCCATCTCTTAGTGTCAGGGGCCCAGAGAGGTCAGCTAGAATGGTGGTTGCAGGCTCTGGGTGAGGGGGCGGCCCTGGAGCTCTCCGAAGGAATGGTGTGTCCAAAATGGCCAGTCGCCTGGGTGAACCAAGGTGTGCTAACCTTAGGCCTCTGTACTGCCGGCGGTTTTGTCCCTCTTTCAAAAACATTTGAAACTTAAAGGAAACAACCCCGTATGCTCTGCCGGCCTGCCATCCCGGCGCCAAGTGAACATTTGCTTGAGCAAATTGCTTCCGCCGCACTTAAAAAAAAATGACTACACTTGGGATTTTGCACCCTCCCTGGTCCCAGCTCTCACCTCCTCGGCCTGATCGCGCTTTTAAGTTTTCTTTCCTGTTGACACTCGAGGAGTGTCTTTGGCCCTTGTCAAGCCTTAAACGGGGAAGAACGATGTGGGGAAGTTCACTTTTCTAAGAAGCTTGCTGAGTTTGGAGGAGAAATGTCTTGGGTAGCCTGCCCTGTGAAGTTCCTGGCTCGCCCCCTCCCCATTCGAGGATTATAGGAACTGAAAGCCAAAGTGGCTGCAGCTGGGCTGACGGTTTCCCTGTGTCTCCTGTCTCCTTAGGCCAGGCCCCCAGAAGCAACAGCTTGAAGGACTTCGGAAGTGGGGGCCCTGAACTGCTCCTGGCCCCAGGCCCCCTGGATCCGTCGGGGCGCCTCCACCCGGCTGTTAGCATGATGTCTTACCTCAAACAACCCCCATACGGCATGAACGGGCTGGGCCTAGCTGGCCCTGCCATGGACCTCCTGCACCCCTCTGTGGGCTATCCTGGTGAGCAGTGGCCCTCTGTCCCCACCCCCAAGCCTCTGCAAATATTGGAGGACTCCAGCCTTTAACGTTTGAGCCCACACTGTCCCCAAACAGGCCTGGGGATATGGTCATCTCTGTGCCTGTTGCCTAGAGCTGCTCCAGGCTCACGGGGCTGAGTTTAGAAACTAAGACTTTGGAGCTTGAGGTGCCTGCCGCCCGGCTCCTGGTGTGGCCCCACATGCTAGAGGGAGCAAGTTTGTCCACCGATGTATTTGCCACCGGTTGCTTTTTTAAAAAATAAAAAAATAAAGCCTCGCCCACCCAAACATTTCACGAGGAATCTGGACTTACAGGCCCTAACAGAAACAGACAAATTTTCCTTATGTCTAGCTGCCTTGAGGAGCAGAGCTCTTTCTCCCTAGTCAGAGAGCCCTAGAGACCAGGGATCTGACCCAGCTCTTCTGTGGCGGTAGCCGACTCCATCTGAACCCCGGGTTTATTTTTTGGAGCCTACTTCTTTGCTTGAATTTATTCTCTTGGAAAGCTTTTCCAGGGCCTGTTTCTACCCACCTCTGTTCAACTTCGTATCTTTCAGCCAGAAGTGTGTGGGCTTAGGGAGAAGAGGAGGGGATGGCTTTGTTTTTAATCTGAGAGGCACGGAGGGCAGAGGCCCTTGTGTTTCTTTTCAGACGGGAGCCTCTAGCCCAACACATACACTGTCCCACCTGTGGGCAGGGAAGTTTGCTTTCGCTCGGAGTTCGGCCCTTTCTTTCCAAGGCGGGGTTCTGGACCTACCAGAGGACCTGAGCGTGGCCTTTAGTGCCAGTCCCCGTGGTCCACCGCTGACTCCAGGTGGCCTTGCATGTCCCCACAGCCACTCCGCGGAAGCAGCGACGGGAACGCACCACCTTCACGCGTTCACAGCTGGACGTGCTGGAGGCCCTTTTCGCAAAGACTCGCTACCCGGACATCTTCATGCGAGAGGAGGTAGCGCTCAAGATCAACTTGCCGGAGTCCAGAGTCCAGGTGCGCGGGCCTGAGGCTCTAGGGTTAGGGTAGGGGCGCTAGGACCGGTCGGGGAAGATCCGGCCTGGGCGGTCTGTGTTGGGGCCCATTTACTGACTGGACAGTCCCTCTCTAACTCCCCCTAGTGCTGAGCTTCAGTCAGCTAAAGGGGGTAACATTAAAAAGTAATGGCTTAGAGCCCAGTGTCTCTTTAGCCCTTGTCCCTGGGGCGCTTTCATTGTTGAAAGTCCGTTTTTGGATTTTTGGGAAGGCCAGCCGTGTCCCCGGGTTGTAACTGTGTCAGAAGGTTAGATAATGCCCCCCTGCTTTCTAACTACAACAGAATCTGGCTTTTTTCTATTGAGCCTTAGCTGTGCATCCGCTCTTGTCTTTCGTACCCTTCCCCTGCGTCCTGGGGATTCTAAAATGCAAGATGGAACTTGGCCTCAGCCTGGGCAATCTTCCTTGGAGTGTGCTCTGCGGGTGGAGTCGGCCTGGTTTGGAGTTTTCTCCAGCCAAGTGGAGGCCGAGTGCAAAATCCAAATGCTGGGTTTACCGTTTCTAAAATGAAACGGTCCAGAAAATAGAGTTCTGAGTTAGTCTAAAACTCTTCCTCGAGGGTCTTTTGTCTCAACTTCTCTCCCCGAAGGCTCGAGGAGGGACTGGGAATGCAATGCCTTGTGTCCGGTCTCCCTCCAAAAGGAGTGAGAACTTATGACTTATCGTTCCATTTGGTACCCCACCTGGAGCCCAAAGGCCCAAGGAAACCTCACCCAGGCTTCCTTCACGAGAGCCCCAGTCCTGGAGTACTACCGCTTCCATCAGCCTCCAGCCTTTGCTTCTGTTCCCACCCAAATATTTGCCCTGCCCAACTCCAGTCTCCAGGAGCCGACTCGCTGAAACCCCTCGGGCCCCAGACTTGGTGACTGCCCTACACTCCGATGTTCTGTGCCCTCCGCTGTTTCCTGAGCTCTGTTCATGGAAAACAGGGCCTCCAAACTAAAACGGGGCTGCGGGGAAGCAGCCAACTGCAACAGCTTAGAGATGGCTGAACTTCTGGCTGGACAGACGCAAACCTTCCGCCCTCGGGCAGAGTTGCGCTGGGCTTGGGGAGGTGCGCATCCCTCCTGCGGAGGCGGCTGACTGGGGGCTTTGCGCTGAAGGATGGGGGGAGGGAGCCAGAGCTGGGGACCTAGCACGTGCGGGGGAGGGGACAGGGTCTGGCAGGGCCAGAGACTGGGAGGGGTAGAGGCTGGGATTGAGAGGTCCCCGAGATCCTGGGCGGGGTGTGAGTCCGAGGGGCGGAGGAGCTGTGAGCTCCTCTAGCCAGCCCCCTGATCCCCTCTCCTTCACTCTGCTCACTGCAGGTTTGGTTCAAGAACCGCCGCGCCAAGTGCCGCCAGCAGCAGCAGAGCGGGAACGGAACGAAAAGCCGGCCGGTCAAGAAGAAGTCGTCCCCAGTGCGTGAGAGCTCGGGCTCGGAGAGTAGCGGCCAGTTCACGCCGCCTGCCGTGTCTAGCTCTGCCTCTTCGTCTAGCTCAGCGTCCAGTGCCTCCGCCAATCCCGCGGCTGCTGCGGCCGCGGGCCTGGGTGGGAACCCGGTGGCAGCCGCGTCCTCTCTGAGTACACCTACTGCTTCGTCCATCTGGAGCCCGGCCTCCATCTCGCCAGGCTCGGCAGCGCCATCCGTGTCCGTGCCAGAGCCACTGGGCGCGCCGAGCAACGCCTCCTGTATGCAGCGCTCGGTAGCCGCAGGTGCCGCCACTGCGGCGGCCTCCTACCCCATGTCTTATGGCCAGGGCGGAAGCTACGGCCAGGGCTACCCCGCGCACTCTTCCTCTTACTTTGGCGGTGTAGACTGCAGCTCCTACCTAGCGCCCATGCACTCTCATCACCACCCGCACCAGCTTAGCCCTATGGCACCCTCCTCCATGGCTGGCCATCACCACCACCACCCGCACGCACACCACCCACTGAGCCAATCTTCAGGCCACCACCACCACCATCACCACCACCACCACCACCAAGGTTATGGAGGCTCTGGGCTCGCCTTCAACTCCGCCGACTGCTTGGATTATAAGGAGCCTGCTGCCGCCGCTGCTTCCTCTGCCTGGAAACTCAACTTCAACTCTCCCGACTGTCTGGACTATAAGGACCAGGCCTCTTGGCGGTTCCAGGTCTTGTGAGCCCAGGAATGAGAGGAAGTGGAGGAGAAACGCAACTACCTGCGCCCGCCGTGGTCCCCATCCCGTTGCTGCTGCCGCACCGCTCGCCTTTGCCTTGGCTTTTCCAAAACTGAAGTTTCACTCCCCCAAGACGTCCATTGCCTGCACTGCCGCTCCCAGCTCCGTACCACTTGCTTGGGGGAGGGTAGACCCTCTCCCCTTTGGAGATGGGGCCCGGTGCTTCTGCTTGGCCCTCAGTCTCTTCACGGGATGGCAATGTGCTCTCCCTCTCAACTCGTGAGTCACCCCTCAAGTCTTTCTGGACAGCTTTCGTGCACCCGGAGCCTCCTGGGGCTCTTCGTTCGCTCTGACCCTCTGTTTTGAGCTCAACAGTTTTATTTATTCTTTCTGGACACTGAAGTCACTAGCTGGCATTAGCTACCGTTTGGAGTGCACCCATACACACTCCTCTGAATCAAACCCACGGTCTCTCCACGCAGACTGTCCCCCTTCAGCTGCCCTTGATCTAGCTCGCCATCCGCAGGCCAGAGCTTCCGGTTTGTCCACCTCCCCAGTGGTGAGCCCTGAGCCAGGCCTTCGGGAGGAGAGTGCCCCAGCCCCCGCGCCCTGCCCTCCCCTCCCCTGCCCTGCCCCGCCCTGCTCTGCTGGACTGATTCAAGCTTCCGCCTAGGCGGGAATGCTGTACATAGTCGGGTCCGTTCCAGGGACCACTTAAACTTTTTAGTTGCTGTTGGCTGAACTGAGCATCTCTCTTGTTTTAGTGTCCAGGAAACAGAACTTTAAAATATATACATCGCATATATATACATATATATATATACACACACATATATATATAACAAAAGCAAAAAGTATTTCCCCTTGTTCCCGTTCCTCTTTCTCAAACTATGGCGGTTCTTATTTTTCAGTTGTTACAAGCTGTCCTGCCCCTCTTCACATCTCCCTTTGTGTATTTATTAAAGAAACCCGCTTGGTTCCAGAAAGCTGGGAGCTGGAGGATCAGAAGTGAAGGAAACAGCTAAGTCGGGGTACAGGGTGGGGTAGACTGGGCCTGGCGCAGGACTGAGCCCACAATCGAACTTTCAGCTTAGAAACAAACAAAAGAGGTGAAATTACAACATTGTGAAAGGAAACAGAGTCCCAGGTCCAGGTCCTCTGTGGGTGTCTCACCCTTTCAAACACCCCCCCACACCCTGTCTGTTGAGTGAGTTTTTAGTGAGCCTTCACTCTCCGAATTCTGCGGAGAGCACCTGTGTGTCTACCAGTTTTGGTTTGGGCCGCTTGGTCCAGTAGGTGGGAAAGTAATTTGTAAATTTGATTTGTTCGATGTGAAGATCACAAATTACTTGTTGAGATGTAAGGCAGTCCGTCTCCTCTTCCTCTTTATCTACATTATTTCCCGAAAATAAAAGCAAATTAATGAATGGCTTGTCAGCGCTGCTCTTCTAATTCCAGTTCGGGCCTCGGTCTCAGGGGATTAAAAGGGAGACAAACTGTGTTAATAACCCGCGTGTTAATGACCTGCGCGAAGCTGGGGGCTGAAGAATAAGGCGGGAAGTCATGTCAAGAGGAGCGCCCCAAAACGTTCTTTTAGGGAGTGTTCTCCCCACCCTGGCCCCACTCCGCAGCAGCCCGGCCTCTCCCTCTCCAGGGTTTTGACCCCGCACCTCCTTGCCATCAAGGACAGACACAGGTGTCAGGACTCAATTCCAGAAACAGCTCCTTTCTCTTAAGAGGCAGAAGCCTGGCACTGATTTCTTCACCCTAATTGCCTGCACCAGAAAGAAGAGGGGGGAAGGGAAGAGAGTCGGGAGGCGGGAAAGGATACTGCTGAGCTGGGCCAAAAGGGAAAACAAAACGAAAAAAAAGAAAAGAAAAAAAAAATCTGTGTCCTGCACGTTGGCAGCAGGGGAATGTCCTTTCTCTGAGCTGTCCCGGGTGGCCTCGTGGTGGCTGTGGGAGACTAGATTGCAACCGCCTGCTAAGGAGTCTTTCTAAACAATTAGTTCGCACCACAAGTTGTCAAGTCACAAACTATCTTTCCTACAGGTCCTCTAAAACAGATACACACGAATTGACCTCCGAGGAGGAAGATGCCAGGCCTGCAGCCCTGAGGGCAGTTCGCCTTCGGTGTAGGGGAGACCGGGGCTTGTCAGTTACCCTTCCCAGCCCAGCCTCCTATATAAATAACGACGGGTGCTCAAGAAAACCCAGGGCCCACAAGTGTCCAGATTGTTCCACCTGATGGCTTCTGAGTGTAAGGCCAAAGAGCGGTGACCGCGGGCGCCAGGGAATACCGAGACAACGAAAAGTTGCAGGCGGAGTCAGCCGCATCCCCTATTCCTTCTCTTTCGCGAGACACGCGCGAGGCCCGGGGTCATGGCCGCGAGGTGGCAGGCCTTGGCGCCCCGGCTGTAGGGGAGCCTTCCCACCCACGGTGCGCTGCGGGGGTCCGGCCCAGTCCCCAGCTGCGCCTCTCAGGGCGGACGCGGAGCCTTCGGCTGGCTGCGCGGGACCCTGGGGGCGAGCGGCCACCGCGAAGGCCGCTCCGGACGCCGGCCCTGGGCGCCAGCCCCTCCCCGCCTCGTGCGCGCGGGCCCCTGGCGGGCCGGCCCGGGCCGTTCGCGGGAAGCGGGGCTGGAGGCCCAGGCTGAGGGCCGGGGAGGCCGGCCTGGCTGCCCCACAGGTCCCGCCGCAGGCGGCCAGGCACCGCGCAGCCGCGCAGCGGAGGCCCGGGGGGACCGAGGCGGGAGAGCGGGCCCGGCGAGGCCTCCGGAGCAAGGTGGGCGGGCCGCGGGCCTCGGGTCCGTCTGCCGTCCGTCTGCCGTCCGTCGGCCAGGCCGGCCCGGGCGGTTCGAGAAGCTCCCTGAGGGTCGACCTGGGTGGAGGCGCCGGGGCGACCGAGGCCCGGACTCCCCGGCGCCCCGGCTCGCGGCCCGGCCGCAGTTCCCGCCTGCAGCACAGCACGAGGCTTCGCGGAGCGGCGGCCACGTGCTTCTCCCTGGCCCGGGCGGGAGCCGGGGGAGGGCGTCCGCGGCGGCCGGGTGCGGGCCCGGGGCGGCCGGGCCACAGTCCCGGGCGTCCGGGCAGCGGCCACCTGTTCGCGCGCGCGGTCTGGGAAGCGTCCTGGGGCCACGGCTCTCGGGACTCCCGAGGTCTGCCTGGGGCCGCGACACCGGTAGAACCGAGCGGGCCTGGGCACCGGAGCCCTGGGCGCCGGGCGGCAGGAGCACGTCTGGGGAGCTCAACGAAATCTCCGGGCGCTCGCTCGGTTCGCAGCCGCGCTCTGACCTCTCGCTCTGCCCGGGAAGGCCTGCCCCGAGCCGGCCACGTGTGAGGGCCTGCGGGGCAGAGGCGGCCAGGCCCACAGCCATCTGCAGAGCATTGCCGGGATTTGTGGTCGAAGCTCGGAGATTCCGTGGAAAGGGGCACGCTGGCTGGTTGGGGCGCTTTTCGGCTCTGGTACTGGTCCCGAGGGTTTGTGAAGAACGTGGGCTTTCTAGATTGTGAGTGTGTGCGCGGGTGCGTGTTTGTTTGTCTGTTGTCTGTTTTTGTTCATTTTGAGAAAATCCTGTAAGCAAACCAGGGATGTCTGATTGAGAGAATAAAACAGGTGAAAATCCTTAATGAGTGTCAGGAGATTCACACCTGCTGCTATAGTCCAGAGACCAAAACTGCACCAAACCAAAACACCAAGTTTTTGTTTTAAAATAAAATTAATGCCCAACACACACACACACACACACACACACACACACCATGTAATTTGTGGAAAACATCAGCCTCCACGGCTATTATGATTTTTTTCAACTTTAAGAATAAAAGATAAATTCATTACTAACTGGAAGAATTAATTATAATGTTACTGACGTTAAGTGTGTCTGTTGACAAGGTTTGTGTTTAAAGGTGGGGAAATAAAAAGTATCTGATATATAACTATAGCTAATATATACATTATTGGTAAAAGAGAGTCTGCATGAATACTATTCAAGACCAGAAAATTACTTGCCTTTTGATGCAGAATTAATTTAAGAATGGCAATAAGATATCTTTCTAAACTTCTCTAATTAGCCAGGTGTGGTGATACAGACATATAATCCCAGCTCTCCAGACTAGGCAGGAGGACACAGGAAGATCAGGAGTTTAGGGTCACCCTCACCTACATAGTAAGTGAAAAATCTGCCCGGGCTACAGAAGATCCTACCTGGAAAAGCAAAAACAATCCCTCCAATTGCTCCCACAAAGAAAGAAAAAGCTTAGTAAAGTTACAAGCGGTTCTGTGATTTCCATGCTTTATCTCTCTCCAAAAGTTTCAGCATTTCATATGATGCTGACAAAGACTCAGTATCAACAACAATGAAAATCACCATCAACTAAAGTATAATTTGCATAACAGTGAGTTTCCTATTTGACAACAGGAAGTTCCTTCAGTTATTTTAAAGAAATAATGTGTTTAAATAAATGTTGGGGGTGCTAAATTATACTTTTTGAAAACTGGAGTTCCCCCACCTGTTTTTAGTAGATGGTTGTTGTGTTGAGAAAGCAATTCAATCGTTGTGTTGATATTTACAGGTATCTGAAAAGAAAGTGTGTGTGGGGTGTAGGAGAGGCACATTCCATTTTGATCCGGTGTTTTATTTAATTGTGTTTTTAAAAGGAGTTGGATTTTAGCTAAAACACATAGGGGCAGCCCTTCAGGAGCAGAACCCTGGCCAGCAGTCCAGTCATCTCGGTGAAATGGCAGTCATGCAGGACAGCCTGAATTCAGAATGCTTTTAAATACATCTACTTTGGAAACTGAGTGCTGTTGTAGTGTACGAAACTTCACAACTGTCTCTAGTCTTCTGCTTGAGTGACTGAACACCCTGAACATTGTGCTTCATCAAGATTTGCAGAAGTGAATTTGGGCTCCTCTATCAATGATGAAGCATCAGTATAGAGCTATTGAAAATCTATTGTTTCTAAAAAATCGTACCTCTCTTAGTGACAGATATTAAAGACACAAGATTGCATTACATTCCCAGGTCACAATACATTTTTAAAAAGGTTAATCTTTAGTGAGCTGCTTATGAAAACTATTTGGAATTTTTAGAAATTCTTTTAAAGTAGATTGTAAAATTATGATTTAAGGAACGTGAGTCCAAATTTTTGGAGGGATTGAAGTGGAATATAAATAAATCATAACTAATTTGATACTTGGGGGTAAGAACTAAAATGTAAGAGTGAACGGTCTCTGATTCCACAGCGTGGTGTCTAAAGAGCTTATAAAATATTTTTAGTGTACAAATATTCTTATGTATGTTTAAAGCTCTGAATGCTTCTAAGATATACCATCATCTGTCACAGCTACTTCAAATAGGAATCATATTTTCTTTTTAAAATTTATTTTAAATTTTTTTCCTGTGAAATATACATATGAAAGAAATTATAAAACAGATTTTTACACTTTAAAAAATAATGAAATATACATGGTGT